TCCCTGGAATTGATCAAAATAAGTCATAATAAATTTAAGAAGATTGAAATCATATCAAGCATCTTTTCTGACCACAATGGTATGAAATGACATCAATTACAAGAAGGAAACTGGAAAATTCACAAGTATGTGGAGATTAAGCAACATGTTACTGAACAAACAATGAGTAAAAGAAGAAAACAAAAGGGAAATCAAAAAATACCTTGAGACAAATGAAAATGGAATTACAACACATCAAAATTTAAAGGATTCAGCAAAAGCAGTTCTAAGAAGGAAGTTTACAGTGATAAATGCCAACATCAACAAACAGGAAAATTATTAAATAAATGACCTAACTTTATGCCTCAAGGAACTAGGGAAAAAAAGAACAAAGGAAGCCCAAAGTTAGAAGGAAGGAAGTAGCAAAGATCAGAGCAGAAACAAGTGAGATAGAGACTAAACTGATAATAGAAAAGATTAATGAGACTAAGAGCAAGTGTTTGAAAAAGATAAATAAAATAGACGAAACTTTAGCTAGACTTACCTATAAAAAAGAGAGAAATCTCAAATAAATAAAATTAGAAACAAAAGAGGAGACATTACAACTGATACTACAGAAATACAGAGGATCATATGAGACTACTACGAACGATTATATGCCAAGAAATTAGGCAACCTAGAAGAAATGGACAAATTCCTAGAAACATACAACTGACCAAGACTGAATCGTGAAGAACCAGAAAATCTGAACAGACCAATTACTAGTAAGAAGATTGAATCAGTCATCAAAAATCTTCCAACAAAGAAAAGTCCAGGACCAAATAGCTTCCCTGGTGAATTCTGCCTAAGATTTAAAGAAAAACTATACCAATCCTTCTCAAACTCCTCAAAAATATAGAAGAGCAGGCAACACTTCCAAACTCATTTTACAGGATCCTTATTTAAAAACAAAACAAAACACTGACAACATTACAGGAACAATTACAAATCTCCCAACTGACAACATTCAAAAGGGTAGCATTCATTTTATATTCTGGTAGATGGGTTATCTTGTTGGCTTAAATTCTGTTTAAAATTGATAAACAGAACCATAAATGGTACAATACATTAATTGTGTTTTATATTTTATTCTCTTTCATCCCTCTTCCCTTTGTGTGTACATATTTATATATATAATAAATATTATTGAATATACCCATGAAATCATCACCATGATGTATGTCATAAACATATCCATCATCTCCAAAAGTTTCCTCTCAGCTTCTTTATTTATTATCATTAATGTATGTGACAAAAAATTGAATATAATACATCTTTTTAACAATTGCTTTGTTAAAGTATACAATACAGTATTGTTAACTATAGGCTCTATGCTGTATAGTAGATCTCTAGGACTCATTCATTTTGCATGACTGAAACTTTGTCCCCTTTGACTAATGCCTCACTCTTCCCCCCCTCCTCCAGCCCTTGGAAATCACCATTCTACTCTCTGCTTCTATGAATTTGACTATTTTAGATTTCTCATGTAAGTGGTATCACATTGGGCACTTATTGCAACCACGTGAGGTTTTATTTGAAAAACAAAACCCAAAAAACCTGTGATGCCTGGATCCCACTCCCAGAGATTATGATGTTATGATGTATTTGCTGGGGAGCAGGGTAGCCAGCAAGGCCTTAGATGCTTCTAACATGTAGATAAAATGGGAATATTCCTTTAAAAAATTTCCAGAGATGCATTTCTCTGCCTGTGAGATTACAAATTTGGAAGCCAAATGAGTGGCTTGACACTTATTTCATATATTTACACCTGCCTAAAGTAAGATAATCATGAGTAGTACTTACTAATTCTTAGATTTCTCCATGTAACATAACATACATGAAGAAATTAGACTTTTGCATTAAACAAGTACATATTGGATAGATGACTATATAAAAATACTTGGGGACAAAGACAGAAATCTGGGCTTGAACAAAAAGATAATTGATTTAATGTCATCAGGTGCACTGAGGAACGCTTCCTCTGACATGTTTATGTAGGGGAAGACAAAATTCCTGTCTTACCTTCTTGGATGTTATGGCTGGTTGAACAATTAAAATAACACAAGGCAGCTTAACAGGATAAAATAAAATTTAACACATGTGCAAGGGGAATTCACATAGATATGAAAAATTCCAAAGACAGTCAGGCAAAATGAGGTATATATGCCATTCTGGACTAAGAAGAAGGGGACAGAGATCTGGGACTTCAAAGAGAAAGAATGCAATTTACTGGAAGATGAAAAGAGTTAATCTTTAGTAAATAAATGTTTGTTGGGCCATCTGAAGACAATGAGACACACAGAGGACTTTGATCAAACAGGCCTTGCTGGGTTCCTCCCTGTCTACCACACCTAGTTCATCTTGTACTGTAGTTATCTACGGTAACAGCTCCTTCCTGGAACAGGCCTTCTATCTAAATTCTTTTTAGGCAGTTAGAAGAGGAGGTCAAAGTTTCTTCCTGAGTCTTTTGTTTCTTAAAAATAATCAGCTTAAAATAATCCTCAAGCGAAAGAAACACATTTTGAGGTGGCAAATTTTGCTCCCTTATATTTAGGATCACTCATTAATTGACATAGTATTGTTGATTTTGATAATATTTAATAGCATAGAAATGTTCACTTGTGACTGCTTCAGTTATTGTTTTTCTGCAAGGATTCTTACTCCTTATTTCAAGATCCACCAAGATCAACTACTCAGATATACATTGTCATCAGTGACTCCTTTAGAGAATGTAGGAGCAATAATCAATAAACAGATCTCACTGTGATTCACCAATATTAGAGATTTCTAATTATTTTAATTGCACATACTGAAAATCTCTGAGGCAAAGAAGAGAATAATAAAATCTTCCTTTCAAGACTTACGTGAAAGATGACATGAGTGGAGCCATATTAAAATAGAGCTGGACAGCCATTTCAGAGGAATTGCCTTGCACTTCTTATTTGCTTTATCTTCCAAACTGGACCAAACTGCCAACACTCTAAGTCAGTAAAGACAAGAATATCCTGTTTGTAAGGACTGATGAAATTGGACTTTGCTGATGACTGGATTGCTAAACAATCAATGAAGTGAAAGTCTAGCCTTTTGCCTGATGACCAAATCTCAAGCCAATCTATGAAATACAAACCAATTCTGACTTCATCTGGCACCAATAAACTCTAATACAATTTACTTCATTCTCCCTTTTTCCCATGAAAATCCTGAGGCCCTCTCCTGTAATTGGGATACTATTTGGGTTTCTACCTGAATCTGTGCTCCCTGAATTACAATTCTTTGATCCCAAATAAATGTCTTGCTTCTTAAACTGGTTGCTGTTTGTGTGGGTTGACACTTACTGTATACAGTCAAGAGTGTTATCGGCATAAAGATAGACAAATCGATCTATTGACTAGAACTGAGAGTCCAGAAATAGACTTATACATATATAGGGCTAGTTGATTTTTGACAAAGTTACGAAGGGAATTCAGTGGAGAAAGGATTATTTTTTCAACAAACAGTGCTGGATAAATTAGATAACCATATGCAGAAACAATGAACTTCATCTATACCCCACGCTCCACACCAAAATTTACCCAAAATGGACCACAGACCTAAATATAAAATCTAAAAACATAAAACTTCTAAAGCAAAACATCAGAGAAAACCTTTATGACTTTGGGTTAGGCAGAGATTTCTTATATATGACACCAAAATGTGATAAATTGCCTTTTATTAAAATAAAGTACTTCTGCTTTTCAAAAGACACTGTTAAGAGAATGAAAAGATAAGACATAGACTGGGAGAATATATTTGAAAATCATATATTTAAGAAAGAACTTGTATGTAGAATATTTTTTAAAAGCTCTCGCAACTCAGTATGATGACAAAAACCCAATACAAAATGGGTAAAAGGTTTAAACTGACACTTCTTCAGAGAAAATATCAAACAAACATATGAAAAATGCTCAACATCAGTAGTCATTAGGGGAATAAGAAATAAAACCACATTGAAATACCACTATATACCTATTAAAAGGTCTAAAATTAAAAAGACGGACCATATCAAGTGTTGGGTAGGATGTGGAGCAACTGGAATTCTCATGCACTTGTGGTGGGAACAGAAAATAACACAGCTACTTTGGAAAAAACTTTGGTAGACACAACATGCTTACTCTAAGACCTAGAAATTCCGCTCCTAGATATTTCTACAAGCAAAATGAAATCCTACAGTGTCACACAAATCTGTGCACAGATATTTACAGTGACTATTCACAATTCCAGAATCAGGAGGCTGCATACTGTGGTTTCATTTTTATGATATTCTTGTAAAGGTAAAACTATAGGGAGATAAAACAGATTGGTAGTTGCAAGGCACTGGGGGCAGGTGGAGAGGTTGACTACAAAGCATCATAGTGGAATTTTCTGGAGTGAAGGAACTGTTCCATGTTTTGATTGTGGTGGTTACATGATGGTGGTTTTGTCAAAATTTGCAGAATTATACATTACTTAAAAGGGTAAATTTTACTGCATGTAAATCACACCTTGATTTTTTAAGTGTAAAAATAAAGAACAAAAAAGCTTGCATATGATGGCCAATTGCTTTCTTGATGAATGTAATTTTGAATAGATATGAAAATTATTCCGTGTTGATTCAGGATTCCAACTCAGCACTCCGTTGTGCCCTGGATAGCGTCTCTGCCCAGTGCTGACTCATTTGTACCTAAGTATCCAATTCCTCCATCCTGGGCTTAACACACTTGGGGGATAAACTGAAAGTTGTGTGATATTTAACCTGGAGAAGTGCCAAGGACAAAGGACAAAGCTCCCTCACTGTGGGAGTGACTTTGGTCATACACAAGTCAACAGTAGGAGACACTAGAACGGTTGCAGAGGAAACTATAAGCACTTTCCCAGAACTCTGACAAAAGAATATGGGCACCTGACTCTCATGGATTCTTTCATGCATTGCATACTTATTGAATACCTCCTGAGCATAAGGCACAGGTGGGTCCCAGTCACACTGATACAAAACTGAAGTTCTGTCCTCCACAAAGGAGGCAGGTGAGGGTACACAGTTGTGAAAATAAGTCCACACCCAGATAACTCAAATTATCGCTTTGCAAGTGCCAGGCTGACACTTGCATCATTTGCAGAGATTCATCGTTCCCAACAGAATGGAGTGTTGTAAGTACTCTGAAATAAACATGCATTCAGAAAGTAAAGATCTAGCATGCTCCAAAACATTAGTGACTCAGGTCTGTGGATAAGGAGTGCTCTAAGAGGTGGGCCGCCAAACTGATTAGAGGTGGAAATATGTATGTAGTCTGTTTCTTTTAATTGCCTCTCTATTTAGGGAATATATAGTAATTAATACAATTTAGCTGACAGTTACATTACACTGCCTACTTCCCTATAAATTATGTATAGAAAAATTCACACAGTGACTTATAAACACAAGATTTTGAGATTTAAATGTTCTGTGATATGCTGTGTTTCATGCAAAGTTAGTTTATTTAATGCTTTCTCTTGGAACACTTACAGTTTACATAAACATAAATTATTTGCTTAAGTCAATTAACGTAGATCATAAAGAAAACGGGACTCCTAAACTACTGTTTATGGCCGTGCTTTTCTGTGTTTATGACTGTAATTCTCAAAGCACAAGCTTGTGGAGCCATCGCTTCAGGAATCTGGAAACCGTCTGGCAACTGCTGTAAGGAATGCAGTATCCATGTTTATAGCAAAGGTGTGAGCTGAATTCTAACAGATGCAAGGCAACCCAGACAATCTAGTCTCATTCAACACATACTGCGTGGGTGCCAGTGGGGACACCATTGCTATTCTCATCCCACCCTCCTCTTGCCAGCGCTCCGGCTTATGTCGATTCCTTCAGCCACAGAATGATTTATTGAGAAATGTTAATGTCCTAAATCTGTGGTTAACAAATAGCCATAGAACTCTGGATTCACGGAAGGAAAAGGTAGACAAGATGGGGAAAGGAGGAAGGGAATTGTGTGCCAGGCGTGATTCTAAGGTGCTTTGATGTATCATTTACATTAATGATCAGAATAAACCATAGAAATAGCCAATAATATCCTCATGCCATATGTGAGCAATCTGATTTAGCTGCTATCTCTATGGTGTTATTTGAAGGATGTCTGCAAGAACCAGGAAGCCCTCCTCCCCGATGCCCCTCTAACTCTAATCCATCCTTCCAGCTATTCTCCTAAAATGCTCTGGGAGTGGCTCCAATGGGTCCAGGCAGTGCTGGGCAGTGTTGCCCCCTCAGAACACATACATCAGCATGACCTAGGAGGCTTGCAAGAGATGCAGATTCCCATGCCCCACTTGTGTTTTCAAAGGGCTAGGGTTTGGGAATGAGAAATTAGATTTCCCATTATCAGAAATTATTCTGTATTTTTCAGAACATTTTACTCATGTCTTTTTAAATAATGAGTGACCATAATAATATATATAAATCACTTTTATGTGATTTGGTTATCCTAAAAGTTTCAGTGGTTTTCTGTGAAAAAGATATAACAATGAATGAATGGTTATTTATTATTACTAAGCAATATATTGTGAAAAATTATATATTACAATAGCATGCAAAAATACTCTGTTCTTGACATAGACTTTGGGAACTTAAAATATTAAAATGTGGGAATATTAACATGAAATATCATATAAAAATCATTGAAAATTGTAAGATAATACCACAAATATTGTTCAAAAACTATCATTTTAAAATGAAATTTTAAAACATACAAAGCATTAATTGTCCTGTCTGATAGTCTTGATTTTTCTTTCTTGACATATATTCCACATGCAGAAAATTTTCTTTCATTTTGGTTGAACTGTTAAGGGAGCATCCAAAAGTTTCTTCAAGTTGGGCCTTTACGTACATATGCCTCATATAAGCTACTTTCCTCTTTTACCAGACAAATAATTTGTCTGCTTGCACTGATTTTATTTGTTTGGTTTTGGTTAAATCCGTATTCCTTTCATTCATCTATGTTTACCTATTACAAATATTAAAATACTGGAATATTCCAAGGAATATTATTCTGTAGTATTCAAATGACAAAATATCTAGATCTCCTAGCCAGATTAGCAGTACAGTAAATCACGTGCCAGAAAGGATTAATTTTGCTTCCAAAACTTATTTCTTGAGATACCACTCATAGAATTTGTATAAAGTATGTCATACATAAACACATTAATCTTTATTTTAATTACAAGAGTGACTCATTCTTAGCAGCAGATAGGGCCATGAACGCACACTCAAAATATGGCAACAGCTCAAAGCAAGACTGGCTGATGAGATCCTGACCATTCTGGTTCTCTCTTACCTTGTCCTGTCCTGGTTCCCAGAATCATTGCCCTTGACTTTCAGCTCCGAATGTCAGTGTTTCCTGCTCTTGCTCAGCTTGAGTCAGTGGATTTCTTTGAACTGGGATAGATTCTATGTCCATTGTTAAGCCTTAATTCTTGCAGGAGAATTATAGTAACTTTTTCTGTGTTCCTGATTTTTTGAATGATTTTTCTCAGTCTTGGGAAAAACATATACTTCCTGAGAGATGTCAGGAAGGAATTCCCACATGGGAACCCTATGCCCCACATCCGAGTTGTCAATAGACTGCGTCTGAGGCCGCACCCGAGAGTCCGCAATTTTAACTAGCATCCCAGGTGATTCTTATGATCACCAATGTTTAAGAACTGGCTTGCCTTTTACAGGTGTTTTTCATTAAAATATAACTATCTTTATGTGGAGAAGTACAATAAATTATTATAAATCGCTGTCACCTTAATGAGAATATATTACGTAATAGCTCTAGGGCAGAAAGCTGAAGGATTTTGAAGGAAATGGAATTCTAGAGGAGGTCTTGGAGGAGAAAGGATTAATGAGTCTAGGTGAGCATTTCTGTGCTCTGCGCACCTATGGGAAGAACAAAGCACAATCAGTAAGAGGGACGAAGTAGAGAGGAAGTTTATATGAGGGAAAAGGAAACAGTGATTGTTAAAGATCAATTTAAGCTACCCTACCATTTTGCCTATGCTTTCTCTACTAAAACTGAGAGCTTGAGGGAGGAAGGGAGGGAGGGTCTGGGATTGTAACCGCCTACTGGCCGGTGGGGGCAGTAGGGAGCTGCCTATAGGAGCAGAGCTATAGCAGGCTGGGTAACCAGATGCCTAGTCTGGGGGAGAACATCATGATGTCTTCAGCCTGGAAGTTAGGATTCAGAGTTAGGGCGTCCTATTGAAGAGGTGGCTACTTAAAGGTAAGCAAGGTGAACTTTTTCGTGAAAAGGTACTGGGGAATCCAGAGAACGTTGTTGCTGGATTAGCCAAATTCACTCAGATCAGCATGTGGGTTTGGATCCAAAAGCTTTTAGAAGGTATTTCAAGTCCTCTTTTTCTGCTACAAACATGTCTGTGCACAGGTGTTCCCAATAACACCAGGAGAATTACTTATTCTGAACAAAGACTACAAATGACAAAATGTATTCTGTTCTGAAGGAGCTGGCAATTAGCCTTGATATTCAAAGTGTGGCCCACGGTCCAGCAACATCAGCCTCACCTGGGAGCTTGTTATACAGGCAGAATCTTGGTTCACATCCCATACCTACTAAATCAGAATCTGCGTTTTAACAAGACATCCAGGTGATCACATGCTCAGTAAATTTTGAGAAGCGCTGGGCTCAGGCAGTGTTCTCAGCTTTTTCATGCTTCGAAATCAGCTAGAAGGTGAATTAAAGCAGATTACGGGGCCCCATTCCTAGAGTTTCTGATACAGTTACTCTAGGGCAGGGGCTGAGAATTTACAATGCTAACCGACTCTCTAGAAGTTGATGCTGACGGTGCTGGTCCCAGAGCCAAATCAGGAACCACTACCCTAAGCAACACAAACTCGGTTATTGCCCTGTAGTTTCCACATTTCTTTATCTTTTTTGTTTTGACTTTCATTCTATTAAAAGAACTCTCTGTTTCAGTCATCTGGTTCTCATATTTTATTTCATTTCATGCTATATAACATGAGAGTGACTGATACTCAGTAACCTTTCTGTCTGTCAGTTTATCACTGAGATTTAGTTATAATGTGAGGACCAGCCCCAGGAAGGATGCCCACCTACTGACCCTTATAAGGGGATCCTCATCTGTCCCAGACAATTCTTTAACCACACAGATCTCTGCCCTATTTATACGGCCCTCTTATCCAGCGCTGATTGGACCAGGGAAGGTCATGAGGTTCATCGACAGCTAGAGTGTATCTGGAAAACAGCTAACAGAAACATGTGGTAAGAAAATCTCTGTCCAAATAATGAAAATCGTGACTAATTGGACCTATTAAATTCTTTAACTTGGAAATTTAAATTGGCTACGTAAGGAGAGAATTTTTTAAGTTGCAGAAGGACAAGTTAAAAGACATACCTTGAAAATGCGGTCAAGCAGAGTCAAGGAGGAAGTAGGGGCACTAAGACAATGGCATTTATGAGGACAGGGTGAAGGAGAGAGCTCCAAAGTCTTGGTTTATATTGACAAACTTCGAACACTGAAATGCAGGGATGATAGTCTGTATCGCCTAATCAAATGTGAGCTCTATTCTCTACTCAGGAATTGAATCTGAGAATTGTCCTCTCTGCCCTGATCTTATTCCTATGTGTGGTTTGACAGATCTCACTATGGTGGGAACAGATTATTGAAGTGATAGAAACACCCCGAACATGACTGGGGCTTTGATGAAGAGAACATTCCAGCGGTTATTAGTGCTCTCACTTAAATATCTATAGCTCTCTACTCGCTGGGCAGCTGGTTGGCTTGCACTTCCTGACTCCCTTTTGGTTGAGAAGTATATCAGTCAAGATCTGGAAGAGAAGAAAATGTCACAGGCAAACAGAATAATCGAGGAGTGTTATTGCAGATTGTGGCAGAGTTTGCAGAAATCAATAAATGCAGAACCTTAGGGCTAGCAACAGGAGAGAACTGTTGTACCTAGGCCTGAAGGGACAAGGAGAGACCGTGGTTGTCTGGTTTCCAGAACCCAGAGAGGATAGCTGAACAGAGAGGGCTGCCTGACTGGAAATGGGGCTTCAGTAGAGGAACACAGCCTACCCACAGTGACCCCGAATGGAAGGACCTGAGTGAATTAATAAATCAATCCATTATCTTCCTGCCTTCCAATCACTTCTTGTGCTCCCATTGGCCGAATCCCACAGGAAGTCCTAGGACAAGAAAGTCCTAAGACAGAGCAGTGTGCAGAAGTGTGCAGAATATGTCCGGAGGAGTAAATTAAGATATTTAACACAGGTGTGCCAGAGTGGCTAGTTCTCTACAATGGCTTGCGAGCAGAAGTGATCTATATCATTTCCTGGGCAGAGCATTTAATTGTTGGTGCAAGACACTTCAGGGCTCAGAGATGTTCCAGATTGTAGCTTCTTTGTCAGCCTGAGTTGTAAAGTAACGACAATCAAAACAGAGCTTCCAGTTAACACTTGATGGGCATGTAATACAAATGAGAAATGAATCACTATGGTCTTAAGCCGCTAAGATTATGGGATTGTCTGTTATCACAGCATAACCTAGTCTAAATTACTAATACAGATGTTGTTACCTATAATTGGCATATTGTCATAACTGAGTAATTGAAATATCTGTCATTAGTTTAGGAGACGGAGTAGAAAGTAAGGGAACTGGTATTTGAAGCTGGAAGGATGGTAATTCATATTATTTGGTGATGAATCACGTGGTAAAGCTGTCATCTACATTCACTTGACAGGCAGATGATGTACCAAATGCACTTGTAATTTTAAGGAAAAGGTTGTAAAATAGAAAAGTAGAAGGATGTGTGGATTACTAGAGATATTTGACAGGGAGGGACGAAGTGAGAGAGGAGAATAGAAAAAAATTAGCCACCTTGCAAGTGGGAACTAAAGAGAATAGCTTGGCATTTTAGCCACAGAGCCTCATAAGAGGCAGCTGATTCAAAACTGATCAAAGGTAAAACTGAGACACCTTTTGACAATAAAGGCCAATTAGAATTCATTCCCTGGCAAGTTTCAAATGTAAGGTGTGGCTGCCACCCCTGTTGTAAAATCTCTGAATGGATTAAAGAATCTCAGATCTAAAGTCCATATTAGGCTATAGTATCCAGGAAACCTATTCATTTGAACAAAATGGCCCTGGGGAAAAAAAGACCAAACACGTGACTCTCCAACCAAAATCTGAAAGGGTCAAGAGTCTGAAATTAAGGCAAGAGGAAAAAGGTAGAGCATGGGAGGTGGTAAAATAACAAAGAAAAATACATCTAAAAACCTGTGACTAAAAAATAACTGTGCACATGGGGCTGACTTAAATAGGTAAAAATTCTACAAAGTGTTAGAGTTGTATTGCTAGATAAACCGTAAGCTTAGACAAAAAATTCTGTGATTATTTGGAGGGTGATGGCAGTAATTCTGTCCTGGTTCCACCACTGAATATTGAGTACAAAGTTGCAGATAACTTTTTAGTCCAGTGGCCTTCAGGACAAGAAGAGCACACATTTAATGTAAAACTACTGTTCATAACCCTCTAGCAAAGAGCCTAGTAAATACCACGCTGAGATGCTTGATGCCAAGCCGGGATGGGGTCTTGGATTTGATTCCCTGGGGACAGGGTATTTAGTTTCTAAAGGAGGGAGAGGAGGTAAGTATTTGGTGGCCAGCATGGTGGATTGTAGTATTCATTGGTGCTATTTAGGAAAAATATTTCTGTCTCTCTTCCTTCTAGGCACTCAGTGGCTTCTTAGGACAGAAAATCCTGACCCTGTAGTTGGGTGGAGCCCAACGGGTACTACTTCTGGCCAATGAGTTGTGAGGGAGAAATAAAGCATGAAAGATCCTGGCTGGCAAATTGAATTGCTGACACAAGATCCTCCAAAGCTCCTTACTTCTGCCACTCCCATTGGCTGAACCCAACTGGAGGTCTTAGATGCAAAAGCAGCCTCGAAGACACAGAGCAATATTCCAGAGGGTGGGCCTTCAGCCTAAATCCAGTATAAGGACGATCCAGAACAAAGAACCAGCTTGATTCACAACAGACACCTAATATGAGTGAGAAATTATCCTATAATACTTTCCCTGATATTTAGGAGATAGTCTGGCACTGCAGCAAAAGTTAGTTTTTCCTGATTCATACAAAGGTAGGTATTGATTCTTGGGACAACGAATTTACAGATTATGACTCTATAGATTATGTAAATCTCTTTTCAGATTATGACTCAAGAGTTAAAATTGGCTGTTTCCATTCCCTAGGTGAGTGTGGGGTGGAGAGGCTTATATAATTTTGTGGACAAAGATATTTATAAAATGGACTACAGCTCTCACAGCTACAGTCAGTAGCTCTTGTATTTTACTCTGATATTTTCAATGACTATATCACCATGAGAAATGCAGTTGATTTGGATCTGAAATTTCTTTTAAAGATGCTCCCCATTTGAAGATACAGTACAATCAATGTGGGCATCAGCACTGAATGAATATGACTTGGGCTGTTTGCCTATTTCTTTTGTAGTAGCTCTATCCAAGAGATGTCCTTCCACACAGAGACAAAATGAAAGGATGTCTCAAGGTGAAAGCATCCATCCTCCTCAGCTAGAGTACAGATGAAGTACATTTCTATCCAGTATAAGTGCTCTCTGAAAGCTTTACTGTCGCTTCATCTCTATTCATGAGAACTTTAAGAGACAAATTCTGGAAAGAAAATGTCTTTCTTTATGTTGGCTTCCTTAAGGCTCAAAGACTTGTTGGAATGCAGGACAGAATAAATAGCATTTCAAATACTACATCTGTACGTGGGGGCAGGAAAAAGGATTTTATTCCCCCATGAATTGTCATAGAAGGAAATGAAGATTGCTAAAAACATATATTCTATGAAACTATGACAGAAAAGAAAAAACAATACTTTCATTTTTCCAGATTTTATCATTGTAATTCTTCCATGAATGCTATTATACTGAGATCCCTGCAGAAATGACATAATTGGCCAATGTATTTGAGGTGTGGGTGGCATAATTTTATAGACATTATTATGGTTAGTGCTGTGAAATAATTTAGTTGTTGCCTTTCTTTTATTTTCCTCTTTCAGTGTGTTTTAGCTCATAACAAACTCTTTGAAACCTGTACAATCAGGGGAAATGAATATAATATGACTGGGAAATTACAAATGAAATTTGCAAGAGATGGGCATTGATTTATCCAAGCAAAATTGATTTATTCATCCTTTTAGTGTTTTCTGGGATAAGAATTAAAGGTAATAAAAATTTTAATATTATTTGATAGATATTTGCATGTTTGGAATAGTAAATATGGTTAAATGTTGCAAGTAATTACTTAGGAATATTAAATATTTGTGAAAGATTATTGTTTTGGATTTCTAATAACATAAAGCAAAAGAATTTTTATTCTAGCAGTCGTGTGTTTCAAGCATTAGATGCTTATGATTTAATTGTTTCAGTAGGTAAAATAATACTATCTTAAAAAGAAATAGGTCTTAAAAATTAAATACATCTATATATACTGACCTGGAGGAATATCTGTAATATAATCTTAAGTAAAAATGTAAAAGCAAAGTTCCAGTTAATGGATACAGTATGATCCATTTTTTATAAAATTTCTGTAGAATATATACACACATAGAACTGTATACATCTATATATAACTTTTATGATATTTATTTGTATGTACAGGGATCAAAGTAGTGGTTATCCCAGTGTGTGAACATAGATTCTTAACTTTTTTTTATACTTCTTTCTGTGGTTTTATTAACAAAGGCATGTAATATGTTTGTAATTAAAACTGTAAGAAAGAAAATATAGACAATTATAAAATAGAAAGGACAAGCGGAAAGATCAAGTTGCCCTACATTTTTTGTGTTTGATAAGTTGTGCCTGCTTTCTTTCTCTTTTTTTCTCACTAGTGATGAATAAATGAAAAGCAATAGGATATATTGGAGCACATGAGGGAACCGTTTGGTTTAAAACTAATTCAGCCTGACCTTGTTTTTCCAGAAAGGCCTGATATGGCCTGTTGAGCATGCATTGTACTTCTGCTTTAAACATTTAAGTGTCCCAAAGCCAAGAATGGTGCTCTTAAAGATAGAGAGGTTGTCTCCCCCTATATCAGCATTTATTTAAGAATAAGCCTCTCTTCCCTGAAACTAAGGATTAATTATCAGCTGCTATGTTCACCTTGTGACTACTGACCTGCTGTGCCAGCAAAACAACCCATGACTCTTGTAAAAGAGATATTCTTGTCATATGTGATGTATGCTCTTTGTTCCAAGATGGTATAGAACCTCTCCGAATACTCCACTTCTTCAGAGTGCTTCCTTCCTTGGGGAAGGAAGCCCCCGGTTTATAGTTCTCAAAGCTGGCTGATATAATAAACTCACCCCAATTTTGATTTATAGATTGATTATGAATTATTTGCATTGACACTAGTATAATTAAAATCATTATCTGTGATGTTAACCCAAATACAGTTCTCTGAATCACAGGGGGTTTTTGGTTGTGGTTGTTTTTTTGGTGAGGAAGATTGGCCCTGAGCTAACATCTATTGCCAATCTCCCTCTTTTTGCTTGAGGAAGATTGTCACTGAGCTAGTACCTGTGCCAATCCTCCTCTACTTTGTATGTTGGATGCCGCCACAGTGTGGCTTGATGAGTGGTGTGCAGGTCCTTGCCCAGGATCTGAACGTGCAAACTCCAGGCTGCTGAAGTGGAGTGTGTGAACTTAACCACTACATGACTGGCCCTGAATTACAGTTTTTAATTAATTCTTATTCAAAACAAATTTACTAAAATTCCATGTGTATTTATTTTTACATGTTAAATCATTTCAAGTTTAAAATAAGCTTTAAAATGCCCAGTTATACAGAGAATAGTTTATGTTTACCCCCTTAAGCTTTGCTAAATTTTTAAATGTAACTTAGCCTCTCTGTAAACCAGGAACAATTTTCATTTTTGCCCTTTAGAAGAGCAATTTGTGTTATGACTTTTTTGGAAAATGGTTCAGCTGTTTAAATAGCAATAATGGATTTTCCTCAGCAATTTTGCTTTTTGGAGTTTAATCATGCTCTCGAGGACACTTAATTTGTGGATTCGAGCTTTTTGAACAACACAATCACCAACACAATTACAGAGCATTGTAGAAATTATTTGCAAGGCAGAGAACAAGAAGGTCAGCACAAATGTTCCAGGCAGTAGCAGTTAAGCAGATGCGAAGGATATGGGATCAATAGCCAACAGAGTGTTTACAAACTTGTTCATGTATTTTCACGTTCATTTATTTTGGAAACGTTTGTTGAGTACTCACTGTGTTTCATGCACTGACTGCGCAACACCCTGGCTTTATCTTGATGAACTAATGGAGACATGTCTCTGCCTCATGGAGTTTTCAAGAATGAATCAAATATAGTAGAAGCTTTCTCCCTTGACCCCTATTTAACTGACATGGCTAATTCCTTGACGCTCTCCACTACTCTATCAAACATACTGGCTGAGGCACCAGCCATGTTGAACACCAACAAGGAGTAGGCTGCTGACTAATATACTCACTTCTTTTTGTTCCCATCCATTCAATTGTGCCACTTTAATATCAGTTGAATTTATCTTTAAATTTGTTTTTGCCAGTCACACTGGTTATTTCAATTATGTAATTCAATTAACTGTAGCTTGAACAAACATAACGTGAATGCACATGGAAAATCATCTCTTCATCATGTCTCCATTCTACTTTCTGCTACCGTGTGGCCCAAGCCTCGCCCTACATGTTTCCACAAATCTTAGTTTAGGGAGGGGCTGGCCCCGTGGCTGAGTGGTTAAGTTCGCGCGCTCCGCTGCAGGCGGCCCAGTGTTTCGTTAGTTCGAATCCTGGGCGCGGACATGGCACTGCTCATCAGACCACGCTGAGGCAGCGTCCCACATGCCACAACTAGAAGAACCCACAGCGAAGAATGCACAACTATGTACCGGGGGGCTTTGGGGAGAAAAAGGAAAAAATAAAATCTTAAAAAAAAAAAAAAAATCTTAGTTTAGGGATTGTGTTTGTTTTTGATATATTTATTCTAAAATCCATGGTCTCTTTCTTGGGCAGCCTCTCTGCCAACAGCAGTGTCTTTCATGGCTCTAGCTTCTGTTGGACAAGCCATTGATTCTGACTGATGCTATGTGACCCTGGTCTCTGGGTCCAGCTTAAACCACATCCTCTAGCCCAGGAGTGGCAATGGCTTCCTGTTATGGCTTATTTCTGGTTTAATGATCCCATAGGCTCCTACATTCCCTGTACATCTAGTTTTCTGTATTAAAATCTCTCTCTTTTAGATACTTACAGAGGTCTCTGTTTTCCTTATTAAACCCTGATGAATACAGAGATTAATCACAAATGCTTAAATGTGTGCATGTTTACCAACTTCATCCTCTGCTGCCTAGGGTTCCTCTACTTTCAGATTTAATTCATTGGCTTGATAATCAGTGGCAACACGCAGGGGCAGTAAGCATATCAGAGCCCCAAAATGGGAAAGGCACTCAATTTACAGATTCCACATTAATGGGAATACTACCCAGGAGGAGGGAGCATAGATCCTTATGGTAGGGATCCCAACAGTTAGTACCGAATCTGGTGAATCAGCAAGCAAATTTGTTTGTGGTACTTTGGAAATAAAAAGAGAAGAGATGGTATGTTGATGGATGTTATCTAGGCCTTTTCTTACTTCTGGAAAAGAAGTACAGTACATTATTCTCATCAACAGGTATTTCCTGAGGTGATAACTATTCTTGTTAGACTTCAAAAGATGCCATGGAAATGACTAGTGAGAAAGATGAACAAGCAAATGGATTAGAATATACTGTGCAAGATTAGAACTGTACTAAAGATAAACCTGCTTACTATGTTGGAAGTAAGGGAGAGGGAATGCTAAGAATGTGTGGTCAAGGCATCTTGACTTCTGCTATTACAAATACACTCCATCATGACTGACGAGCAAGAGGAAACAGGTGGGCCATATTTCTTTTTTCCTTTTTCCTTCATTGTTGGATTGGTACTAAAAAATACCAGCAACATGGCTCCGACTATTAGAGGCGTGTGGAGGCACTAAAAACTATCATAATGCTAGTCTACCCAAATCTCTTTTAATCGTATTCTCACAACTATAAATGATAAACAGATTTAATTTAACATTATGAAAAATCCATTTCAACTTAAACTGTTTTACATTTTGAAGCTATATTTGCTCATTAAATGCACGCGAATAGAAAGAAAAATCATTCCTAGCACCCAACCTAAACACTGTCATTATTAATAATTTAGTGTTTTATCTATAAACGGTTCTAATCTTTTAAACATGTAACCCAGATGTCCTTGACTTTATAACAACAAATGAGGTTACAATTTTGGTTTCTTTAAACTTTTCACTGAAAAATATATAGACAAAAGTGAAAATAAGTGTACAGATCAATAAATTTTCGCAAATTGAACACAACCATAACCAGCAACCATCTCAAAAAACAAGATGTTAACAGAACCCCAGAAGCCCTTTTTATTTGTAGTGCCTACATCCCTTCACTCTCAAAAAGAAACGCTGTTGTCATTTCTGCAGCCTAGGTTGTTTTTGCCTGTTGTACTTTATGTACATGAAATCACATAGTATATATTCTAGAGTTTGACTTCTCTCATTCGGCATTGTTTGTTTGGTTTATTTATATCTTTGCAAGCAATTGTAGATTATTCATTCTCATTGCTGGATTCAGCTGTGTGAATACATAATAATTATTTATCTATTCTATTGTTCATGGGGATTTGGGGATTTGCAGATTTGGGCTATTTCACATAATGCTTTTATGAATATTCCAGTACACATCTTTTAGTGAATATATGCACACATTTAGATATTGCTAACCATTTTCCCAAAGTAGTATACCAATTTATACCCCCACCAGCAGCATATGAGAGTTTTGGTTTGACAGCCTGTCAACGTTTGTTTTTTTCTGTTTTGTTTCTTTTTAGCCACTCTGGTGAGTGTATACTGGTATCACATTGTGGTTTAAATATGTACTTTGATGACTAACAGAGGAAAACTTTTTCATCATTTATATTGGCCATTTGTATATCCCCTTTTATGAATAGTCTATTAAAACTTTTTGCACATTTTTCCACGCTATCTTTCCTTTTCTTATCGATTCATAGTGTTCCTTATATATTTTAGAAATTAGTTGTTTATTAGATTCATATCTAATTCTACTGTGCAGTTTGCCTTTGCATTCTTTTAATGATATCTTTTGATGAACATAACATTTTAATTTTAATATAGTCCAATTTATCAATATTTTTATAGTGATTTTTGTGTCCCTTCTTTGTCTATTTCAAGATCATAAAGATGTTCTACTTACTTTTATGCTAAATACTTTAAATATCTTCTTTTTACATTTGTATTTGTAATCCAGCTGGAATTGATTTTTGTATATGGTGTGATATTTTTTGTCCCGTGTGGCCCAGGACTCAGCAAACTCCATATGAAAATCTGACTGCAATATGAGACGATTAGTGTAATAAGCTATGGTCTACCTGGCCTGAAGTTTGTCCCAAGGGCATAATTAACTTTAATGATCAGCCTTCTCTCTCATCCATTCTATCTTTCTCTCACCTCTGCCAGCAATTCCTTTGTCATCATTTAGAGTTCTGAGCCTCTGGTGACCTTGCTTTTGTCAGATCACAGATGACGCAATGGTTCCTCTCCTATTATCAGAGGACATGGAACACCAAGAGGTACCCAATATGCCTTAGAGTTCCAGATATAGTCCTCTTAGCTCCCATTATTTACCTGAAATTCTAGCTCTTCATTAAACTCAGGGCCAATTGCTCCCAGTAGTATAGAAACTCCTTTCTTTGATTACTTTCTTACTGGCATGGGAAGTTCAAAATAACCAGGTTGCAGTCATAGCTTTAAGTTTAGAAGAACACTTACTATGTCCATGATGGAAGCATTAGCCACCATTCCCACCTCCCACCCACTTCCACTGTTTCAGGACCCCTATTCCTATTCATAGAGGCTAAAGTTGCAAGAAGGGAAAGCACATACTCCCCAAGTAAGTCTCTGGGAGTGATGGTAAGAGGAGAAACCTGCATATTTTAGCTATTGGTTATACAGTACCATTGGTTTAACATACATACCACATCTTGGAGGGTAGTGCCCTATGCTTGCAGTATGTATTCCCCAAACTGAAACCATAGCTGTCTGTTCCAATACTCTATCAGGCTGGCTACGTAAGAGTTATGAATTCGATAGAATCAGTGGGTCCTCTGCTCAGTGCCCATTTTTGCACCTCGTTAGCTATAAAATGGGATCTTTGATGTGACACACTCATATTATTTTGATACCTCATATTGATCACTCAGGCACATCAGGCCCTTTGTAAACCCTGGGATAATGGTGCTAGCAGAGGTAAACTCATATTTAGGGCATATCTCTCTCTTCCTCTCTCTCTCTTCATGCTTTTGACCCCATGCATAGCTTCCATCTCAGGATCTGGTGTGTCTGAGAACAGAGGCTGGCTGGCCTCCATTGAATGAGCCATCCTTTCTACCTGGTTGCTTGTCGTCTCTTCACTAGTAGATGATGACTGGTAGGCACTGGGGTGAGACACAAAGTTCTGCACATTTTGTGTGTACTCTCCTGTCTATATTCACACGCATTTTCCCCAGACTTTCATTTCTTTGATCTTCCAGTTTTGTTCTTTTCATCCCTTACCAATGACCAGCATTAGGAGTGGGTAAGCCTTTTATGTGATAGTAAATAAATTAGGCTTTAAATCAGTTAGTGAATAAATTAGGCTTTGCAGACCATATGTTCTCTCTTGCAACTACTCAACTCTGCCACTGTAGCCCAAAAGTAGCCGTAAGCAATATATAAAAAATCAGTGTAGCTGTGTTCTAATAAAACTTTATTTATGAAACTAGACATCAGCCTGGATTTGACCCACAGACTGTGTTTGCAGACCCCATAACCATACTATTTGCAACTGCCCAAGAATCCTTGTGTATTCTTACCTCAGGGTCTTTTCTCCCTCCGTACAGGGGAGATAACCAAGTATACAGCTCAAAACTCTGCCCACTTGGAGTGTTGCCTCTCACTAGGGACAATCTTTGAGTGGGGCAATAGTGTGGCAGCTGTCCATTTTCAGCTTACATCTATACATCTATCTGACCCACCTGGGAACTACACCCAAACTTGCCCTGCTCCATCAGCTGGCTGTAGAAAATACCCCAAAAGAATATATATGTATATAACATATGTATTAAATGCAAGAAATAGGTGATTAATTGGTCCAGGCCACAGGTTTGTGTACTTTATTTGAGTCATTTGGACGGTCTGGGACATGCTCACCAGCTGCAGCCTGGAAGTGTCAATCAGCTGAAAGATTGAGGTGGGTCTTCAAGAGCTCCCCAAACTTCTACTTAAAGCAAGAAGGGAGTGCTACGCTGATATAAATATAGGACCTATTGGTCCATGGATGTCCTGTGTGTTAATTCAGCCAAGGGAAATGTGTATGAATAGCCAGCCTGTGTCAGGAAAGAATGGGCTCAAGGGAAGGACCCACAAGGCTGAGTTAGAAATACACTGTCATCCTTCTGCTCCTCAAGATTACTTTTGTGGAAAATAGCCATGGAAATATGAAAGTCACAACAAGCATTTCCCAGTCTGAACTCCTCTCCCCTCCTCTTAAGCCTTTGTCCATTGGGGAGAAAAATGTTTCCTAGTTTTGCAGACATTACATACTTCCCTCTGCAGAAGGCAAATGCTGGGAGGCATAAGATGTAACCCCTTTTGGTCATAGCATCCAGCAGGGCCGGGGGTTACCACAGTAAAAATAACTCAGCTCTCCATTCCTGGAAACTGGATTCTGCTACCTCTTAGCAATTTATAAATCACTTTTCTTGCAGTGAGGAGAGGAACTGAAATGAAGAGACAAATCTGAGAGTCTGACCTGGGCTTTACTCTAACCCTACCACTTTTCTGCCGTATATCTTAACTTCCTTAAGCCTCAGTTTTCTGATTAAAAGTGAACATTGTAACTGTTACTATGCAGGGAAAATAAGATTTTATATAAGCCTTGTCGAATCGTGCATTCAGCATTTATATGTTAATGCCCATTAAGTACCAGGCATTGGGCTCAGTGCTTGGGATATGCCAGTGAACGACACAGTTGCACACTACTCTTGTATTGTGTTCAGTACCCAGCACAGCCCTGGGCATAAATTAAGCCCATATTAGTCAAGACTCCTTTAGTTGTAAGTGACAGACATCCTTTAACTAACTTAGGAAAAAATTGGGGAAGTTATTAGATCATTGTGAAGAGGTAAGCAGGATTGTCCAGTTTATGACGTTGGTAAGCTCAGAAGCCATAAGCAGGAGGGGCTGTGCTCAAACTCAGCTTCCCACTGGGTGGCGGGTGAGTGGGACTCCTTTTTTCATAGCCTAAATCCAAAGTTCCTACAAAGTTGCTAGATGCTAGCAGCTGCTCTTTTCAGACACTAGAAACCTTGCATCTAGGCTCTGAGTGCTAGGTAACTGAGCCTTTAATATTTATTCTCCATACAAGACTATGCTCATGCTTGCAAGACATCAGTATTCCTCTCCTCTCCCAGCACAGAGATCTTCAGTGTCCACCACCACCACAGCCTCAATATACATTTCCACGGGCAGAACAAGGGGTCACGTGTCTACTCTTGTAATCTACTTGCAAGATTTTCCAATTAAACATCTTTCTCATACCACATGAAGCTGTAGGACTATCCTTCCGTCAACTTATCAGATTCACATAACCCACCCACAGAAAGGCCATCATGGATGGCTGGATGCAGGGACACTATTTTTTTCTCATTATTACATTGTTTTCTCATTATTACTTCTCTCTGCCTCTTAGTTTTATCTTCTAAGCCGCTGGTTGCCCACTTAAGCTTGAAACCACGGCCATAAGCAGCACTAAGCTTATGTTAC